TGGGTTGAGGGAAGTCGATCAGTGGGGTCGATTTGGGTATTTTCTGGTGACATTTTGGCTGGAGAAAAAGATGCAGTAAAAGGTGGTTTGGTTCGCCAGAGTTGGCGTCTGGTTGTGAGGTGGTTTACAAATTGTTTTCCATCAGAGTGGACTGATTTCAGGTGGGTTTGGTTGCCGGCCAGAAAGTGGGTGATGGTGACTGTGAAAACGGAAAAAATGGGGTCGTCTAGGGGTGGTTGTTTGGTGGTTGGACAGCAGCGTAAAGAGGAGATGCTGGTCGGAAAAATGGGAAAACAAAGGTTGAAGTTATTGCTTCTTCCTCCCCTATTTTCCCTTTGTTCATCTCTTGGGTTAAGTGTTAGAGGGTCCGGCATGGGTTTAAAAATGGGTAACGGGTCGTTTTTTTAAGATTCTGGTTAATTTAAGTTAATTTGGGGCTTTCCGTCAAATGAGGGGTATATATGGTGAAATTAGTAACAGCAGGGGTAAAAATAACTTCACTTTAACAGTAAGAGCATAGTCAACAAATAAAACAAAGTTGAGGGATATTTTTGATCATTTTCCTTAATTATATTAACCTGATATTATTATAGAAATTTATAACAAACTAAAAAAAAAATCTTTATGTGTCAATAAATGTGTATTGACACTTTTAAGTAAGATAACATTAACGGATATTTACTAACCTATCGATAACTAAGCCATTTCATATTACGATTTTTCTTTTCTGAGTTCGATATCGAAATTTTTAGTTAAATGTCAATGATCATATCAACCATATACTAACATAATTTATTATTTATTTTTTCAGCCAGTTGGCAATTAGCTTACGTGTGAAATTGTTAAACAATATAAATATTTAAAAATGACAGAAAAAAAATTAAATTATTTCCCATGCTTATTTAGAAGATCCCAAGAATCTTCCTTCCGTTACCAAAATCAACTACACACTACATATTAATCCTATATCTACAACTAATAATCTTAACCGTTTATCATCTCTATCACAGATTTAGCTTCATCATCACACTAGCAAATTTTTCGTTGTTTGATATCTGTCATCGTATTTTATTTGTCGAATATCCATCTATTTTGTTATTCTTCTTCCTTCTTGTAGGTTTTTCAAATACCCATTTGGAAGATATGGATATTCGAATTTGCTGTACTTTTATGAGGAAGCGATAAGATCTAGGTATATTATATATCTTTTTTAAATTTCATTATATTGTTGTATCAGGTTATTATAAAAGTTTGGAACATGCTTTTACTGTGCACCGAGAAGTATAGGATTACCACCCATTTTTAAAACCATATAAATATAGATATTCACCAAAATTTAGTTAAAATTTTCACAATTCCCTCTTCTTCTTCCCTCCTCCTCTCTCTCTCTAGAACCTTCCTTGTTACAGTTTCTCTCTCTACCTATACATACATATATATACACTGTATATGCAATCTCTGTTTCTTCTTGTTTGATTCTGATTTCTAGTTGTTGTTGTTGTTTCGGTGCCCTTCTTCTTCTTTTTCTTTTTTTTTGATTTTTTTAATGGAGATGAAAATGGAGGATTCGTGTTTGCTTTCGTTGATTTCTGAGGTTTCTTCTGGAAGATGCGCTGCTAAAAATCGTGGAGTTACGCGGTTCACGAAGATACCTATAATACCGAGTATGCCTCGAAGTTGTAAGTTTAGGGTTTGTTAAATCTTTTGTTAGGGCTGATCGCATTTTACGTTTTATCTGTTTTGTTTCGTACTGACTGAAGCTGAATTTGAAGATTTGGTGTGGAATTTGTGAAGGTTGTTGTGAATTCTGAATTCTCTGTTTGATAATTCTGCGTAATTCGTGAAAAGTGGTTATTTCGTTGTTGTATTTCATGCGAAAATTCTGAAAATTTTGGCCGCGTTTGGTGATTTCTGTGATTGTATGGACAATTTTGAAAATCTGGTCAGAGATCTGTTGGCTTTTGTTGTTCAGAGTACTGCTTGAAAGATTTAAGAGACTTTAAGAGACCTGTAGATCATTTTTAAGAAGTTGTTATCTGAGTTGAAACTGGAAAATTGATTGAATGGCGGGTAGGCAATTAGATTTCCCGAGGACGAGTGGTGGTAACTTGAAAGAGCAATTAGTGAGGAGAACTTTGCAGAATGTGAGGTCTCAAGGGCACATATATGTTGAGCTTAGAGAGGATGGGAAGAGGCTAGTCTTTTTCTGCACGCTATGTCATTCTCCATGTTATAGCGATTCTGTTCTGTTTAATCATTTGAAAGGTAATCTCCATACTGAAATGCTTGCTGCTGCTAAAGCCACATTGTTGAAACCTAATCCTTGGCCCTTCAATGATGGTGTACTTTTCTTTAATGATCCGGAGCAAGATAAGCACTCACCTAATGTGAATGTTGGGAAAAGCAGACTGGTTGACACTTGTCTTGAAGATGAAAGTAGCCTTGCTATTGTTGAGTGTGATGACAACTTGAGACATAACGGGGATACATATGTTTCCGAGTATGAGTACGGCCTGCTGGATAGTGAGTTAACTGGTAATGGAGAGAGTGAGTACTTGGTTATTCCGGGCGTGTTGTGTAAAGACGAGTTATCTGATCTAGAAGTGAAGCATATTGGTATTGGAAAAATTGCCGCTCGTATTAGTGTACGTGGCATTGACTCAAAAAAAATTCGTAGAATATGGTGTGAATGGTTGGCAAAGAAGGATTCTGATGATATGGATACCTCTGTGATTCCAGATCATGATTTTGCGGTTGTTACATTTCCTTATAACTATAATTTGGGTAGGAAACCGTTACTTGATGACAGATTTTTGCTCCCTTCCAGTCCTTATTCAGAATCTGAGGAAACCAGTGGTACTGGAAAGAGGAAGAGGAAGTCATTTTCAGACCCCGAGGATTTCAGTGAGTCTCTTAGTAATCATTGTGATTCGTCTGGGGAAGAATCTCAATCAACAAATAACTCAAATATGAAACTGATATTGGGAACATGTGATGATCAACTAGTGAGTTCAAGAATTATATCCAGCAAAACTATGAGGAGAGAGTTGAGGAAACAGCAGCGAGTGGCTTCCGAGAGAATGTGTGATATCTGTCAACAGAAAATGCTTCCTGGTAAGGATGTGGCAACTCTTCTGAGCTGGAAATCTGGAAAACTTATGTGCAGCAGTAGAAATATGACAGGGGTAAACACTGTTCTGTTTTGGTGTTTTTTTCCATATGATATTTGTTTATTATTGTGTTGTAGACTTGTTTCTCCACTTTTGGAGCCTTAACAGAGATCCATTACTTATTACTACAATTCATGCTCATTCAAATCCTGTGTCAATACAGGCATTTCATTTGTTTCACGTATCTTGCCTCATTCATTGGATACTTCAATGTGAATTGCAAACCTATGTGAAACCTGTTGACGAACCAAAAATGGAAACAAAAGCAAAACGAAGATCTCAGAGGAAGACTGGAACCAAACACAATGCAAAAGAGAAGGAAGATGAGATAAAATCAGCGAGACGGATCAACTCAGTGTTCTGTCCAGAATGCCAGGGTACTGGTATCATCATTGAGGGAGATGAGCTGGAGAAGCCTCCTGTCTCACTTTCTGAGGTTTGCAAACAACCTGCAAGTTTCCATTCCTCTCTTTTCACCTTGCCCACCCACCCTCACACACATAAAAAATAAAAAGGGAAGGGGAAACCAAAATAGATGTTTTTTCCCCCACTTGCTTGGATAGCTGTTGATCACCACATTTATATGAGTCTTTTCCCACTTGGTTGACTACCTGTTGATCACCACAGTAATGCTATTTAATTCATTTACATTTTCTGTTTCTTCCATGTGCTAATTCTTCTTAGATTCACTAACAGAATATACTCCCTGTTCCTGTATTTGTTATGTGAATTGGGAAGTAGTGCCAGTTTATTTCTTGGTAGTAATCCTCAGATATGCTAGTGATATCTAATATCTCTAAGTGCCCATTTATGAGAGTCCTGTTGGCTCATCGAACCAACAGATGATGTGGGGCCTAAAGGGTCATTTAGACTTGAACCTGTCGTGTTGCCATATTAGACTCATTTGAGTGCAGTGTTTTGACTATGAGTGGATGTGACTGAAGTTATTAGTACTTGTTAGCTTATATCTTTAGCTTGATTTTCAGGTGTACAGGCACAAAATTAAACTGAGTGATGCACGAAAAGCATGGATGAAGAATCCTGAGGTGTTGCAAAATTGCTCAACGGGTTTCGATTTACCCCCTGAGCATGATGATCTTCTCCAGGTTGGAATATTAGAGGTTATGTCTACATAAAGAAGGGGGATTGATCTTAGGGATCTTACTATGCTTTTTCTTTTGCAGGAATATGTATCACCACTCAAATTGCTGCACTTTTATCGCGCCAATGTTTCAAGCTGAGGCTATATTTTTGATGTGTCACACTGACGAGCATTCACAACTGTGCTATGTGTGGAATGAGTCTTTACTACTGTTATGTGTAGAACTTAGTCTTTCCGTTGATATTATTAACCTTTTGTAAATGTCATGGGTCTGATGAAACTATTGGTTACTATAGTAGTGTGTACAGACTTTAGAGATGAATGTGTAATATGAGAAGACATGATTTTCAATTCAGATGTACTCCTTATTTGGTAAAGATTCATATATCATGCTTCTTCCCAGGTGTGAGACAGCGTAAATTGTTAGGTGCCGCCGTGAGAAGTTCAAATCTCTCTTGTGAATCCCAGGGTGTTGAGAAACAAGCTGTCTGCATAGAGTATTGCTGAATAGTTTCATATAACATTTTCAATGCTCCAGCAACAACTTTATGCGGAAACCCTTTTAAAGCACAGGCCAATAATTCACTATAATAAGAAATTTTATGTTTCAAGTCATGAGTAGAGAGTCTTCCATTGGTTTCTTATTGAAGATCCAGATACAAATAGTTTTGTGTAGTACATTATTCATATTTCTTACAAAGTTACAGCAGAAAAAAAAGTCTTTATCATCATAACAAGATAAGACATAACACTACGCAACAGATGAGAAAAAAATGTACTCTGCGAAGTGATTTATCATCAGCTTGCAATTGTTGCCTTCTCATTCTCAAAGTAGTGCTGCCTACTAGATGATGCGCGTTTGGATATGGATACAATGTTGGTGATGAGTTTCCAGAAACGCGTGCTGCATACGCCGTTTCACCAATCAAGGGATGTAACATATTTGTTGTCGTGCCACCAATCCTGGTTGTATTTGACTGACCTCGATGATGGAGTTGTTGAGGTGGATGTGAATCAATCCCAGGTCTTTCTGGTATGACCATACCATTAGCTTGAACTTCAACTTCAGATGTTTTTGTAGCTTGGTCGCGGCCATAGAGTGGAACCATGCTTCTTTCTGAAACATCAGCCTTGCAAACAGGGCATTGTAGGTGGCGTTGAGATGGATTTTCGGAAGGGATGCTATGTAAGTGGATCCATTTGTAGATGCAAGGCCAGCAATACAAGTGACCACACAAGGTAACCACTGGATCATTTGCAAGATCCAGGCAAATGTTACACTCAAAACCACGAGAGAGATAGCTGCCGCTTTCACGTTCATCATCAAACATCTTCGACTTCTCTAAGGGGGTACCTTCTTCTATTTGCTTGTTGCAAATGAAGATCTAGGACCATTTCATGCTTCTTGATTGCTCATGCCTGTAGAAATATATGAATAGATTCCAGGATCACAATACAACACAGAATGGATAAAATGAGTCAAAACTAATCACTTCGTTACTCAAAACTCTTAAAAAATATCATCAAGTGTGTGTTGGATCCTCCAAAAAATAGTGCATTTTTGGAGGATCCAACACGGGTGCAACTCGGACATACTTAAACATATGCTTTTTACCCCCCATTCCATCCAACAAGAGCTTAACGTACATCATAGAACACCAAATAAACTGATATCACAACTATAAGAGAAACTATTAGAAACTGATGCATAAAATTTAGAAACTGAGGGGATCTTTGTAGATAAAACTTGAGAAACTTATGCCATGTAACAACACGTGTGTTTACTTATTCAACTTTATACAAGTTTAAGTGTTTACTTGAGCACACCGAAAGTTGGAGTGCAGACATACTAATTGAAGCCAAGTTAAAAGGGCCATACTCTTAATGGTGTGACACATTTTGGCGAAAATCATTCAGATTTAGCCCAAAACAGACAATATCTCACTAGTCATTAGAAACAACAACAAAATAACCCCTTCCCCCCCAATTTCCAAGAAAGCAAAAACCTAAAATATGATACTTCAGGCACAATAGAAATCTATATTGCTCAGACTTATAAAAAATATTTCATACTCAAGTTTCATTCTTCAAAAATACACTACAAAAAAATCTAATCTTTTTCAATAAAATACACTCCATAAGTGAATTAGAAATATAGACACAGAGAAGGAAAAAGGAAGATACCTCAACTGGATACAAACATCAGAATATCCCACTCAAAAGAAAAAACACTTTAATCTCATGTTGATTGATATAAAGTCCCCCAAAAGAATGGAGGGGCTAAAAATAGTCATAAAAGAAAATGGTGTGCTAATGAGTATGACACTTTGGTAGTATATATTTCCCCATTAGGCCATGTTTCAAATATGATTAAAGCAAGTGTTATATGATATTATTTTGGGAAAATTTTCAAAACAATAATATTTTAGCATCTATTAGGACCTCTTGTCAACAATTTCAATATTTATTTAAAATGTCAATATTTTGGTTTGTTATAGGGCAAACTTTTGTATTTATTTAATTTGAAAAAATACAAATCTTCAACAACGGATTGGCGAAAATCATGGGAGAAAATATTTCAAAAAAGATAAAAATCACTTAAATCTCTAACAAGTTGCAATTGAAAAAATACGAAGTGTCATCTCTCTCTTGTTCTTTCAAAAGTCTTTTACCATTGTTCTGAAGTTCAGGTTTTGTAGATTGCGTCACTTTTCGTTGGATAACAAAATTTTGAATTAATCAATTGGTATTTCAAATAGAATTCCATCTATTTCTTTAAAAGTTCAAATTATCAAAGAAAATAAAAAATGGTCACGAATCTTTTAAGTGTCGATTATTTATTTTTTTGGGATGAAAGTAGTCAGATCTATGTATTTATGGAATATAAAGTGATAATGAAATACAAACTGAGCACGATAAATACTCATTTCAATTGAAAAGTTAGACCATATAATACAAAACTTGATTGTATACCATTAGGACAAATACAAATTCAAATCTAAATACAAATTATCTGGTATACAAAGTGATATTGAAAATACAAAATGAGTCAAATAAAATACAAAATCTATTTACTAATGCAATTAGTGTATATATATATATATAAAATGAATATGCAAATAGACTATATTTTGGTTATTTAGAATTGAGAATGAATACAAAATCAAATTTAAATACAAACTATATGGTATACAAAGTGATATTGAAAATACAAAGTGAGTAAAATAAAATACAAAATTTGTTTTTAAATGCAATTAGGATGAATACCTATATAATGAATACATAAATAAACTGTATTTTGGTTATTTAGAATTGAGAATGAATACGAAATCAAAAATAAATACAAAACTTGATGATATACCATTAGGAAGAATACGAAATCAAATCTAAATACAAACTATTTGATATACAAAGTGATTCAAAATACATAATGAGCAAAATAAAATAAAAAATTTATTTCACATATGCAATTAGGATAAATTCCTATATAATGAACACATATATATTTTAAAATGCGATACTGTCCCACCCAAACTTCATAACCTTAACATGATAAACCAAATAGCTTCATAAATTTCACACATTTTTAAAAGATAAATCATTACTTCATAACCTTAAAATGATGCCTTAGCAGAATAAACTGCTACAAAATGTTAATGCTACGAATGACTTAAAGAAATTCTTTAAAAAATGGATTAATTTCGAAGAAATTTCTTAAACAAGTATAGTAGATAACAATGGTGGAAACGATAGAGAGAAAGTAGAGAGATTTGAGGTAAAAACCTAAAGAGAGAAGATTGAAATGTGGGTTTTTTTTTTTTACTTTTAACTGATAGTGAAGTCAAACTAGGTAAATAAGGGTCTGATTTGAGAAATAAAGGATAATAAATTAATTATATTAGGATACATTATATTTGCTAAAATAATGATATAATGACATTTTTGATAATTATTTTAAAGTGTAGATATTTTAGCTAATTATGTTAGCAATTTTGACTAATTTGCTAACTTTCCCTATTACTTTTAGTCAGTCTAAAAAAATATATAATGCATTTTTATAACAGAGAAATTAAAGCTTTGAGGCATTAAAGATCTGTTAGAGTTTTGTCCTAATTTTCTTACTTTATTTGATTATTATTCTTCTCTTAAAAGAAAATCAAAGTATTACCATAAATGTTTTAACTTTTCTTAAAAGAAAAGTATAATTTTCTTCCATCTTTACACAACCTTATGTACTTTACATTTATACAAATAGCTGTTTTCAAAGCTCAAATCCGTCATAATCTTCTGATCCGCCCATGATGTTAGGTAGGGATGTTCATGGTTTGGATAAAAATCAATCCAAATCGAAAAGCTGAACCAAACTAATAAAATAAACCGATTTTATTTGGGTTTGATTTGGTTTGGTTTTAGATTTTTGAAAACCAATAGTATTTGATTTGGTTATTGGTTTTTATTCGAAAAAACTGAAGAAATAACCAAATTGAACCGATAAATTATATACATATATTTTAATATACATATTTAATATATTATTTTTATAAACAATTTTAAAGATCTTAAATATGTTTTCATAAAAAATTCTTTATAATTTACTTATTGAAAGCAAAAATGTACATGGTGAAAACATTTATCTTATTGATGTCATGTATATGAGTGTCTATGACAATTCTTTGTGAGTCTGAAAATGTTATTGTCTCTTCCTTCTAGGCCAAAATAGTGAATTTAAAGCTTTATTAATAGTAAATTCAGTAATTTTAGTCATGCTAACTATTTTTCGTTTTGAATGGATTGTTGTCGCTTTTTCACATTTTGAATGAATTGTTTCTTTTATTTTTTTGTATGGTTAATAACCGAACAACCATACCAAACCAAATCGAAACCGATAACCACCAAACCAATAAATGTATATTATATTTGGTTTGGTTTTGATAATTTTAAAATTGATTAAGTTGGTTTGATTTTGATTTTGACCAATAACCGATCCAAACCGACCCGTGAACACCACATTAGGTGTCGAGTCATTGAGGTCATACCTTAATTTTTCAGCTAAGACCTTATCCAACCTGGCAATTAGTGCTTAATTAAGTATTAAAGTCAAGTTATTAGTCTTTATCACCCAATTTCTTTAATATTAATTTAGGGTTTTCTTTAATTCACCACATTTTAGTTTTATGGGGCTACTTGGCAGTTTCCTAATCGTTAATAGACATACTCTGACTCTCTGTAATAATTAACTAAACAAAATAAATAAATATTTTACACTTGTAATTATTTTCTTGTGTTTTTTTGACTAATAAATACTATTACTAAGATCTGTAATTAAATTGGGGAAAAGGGTCAAAAATACCCCTCAACTTTGGTTTATTGTTTGACTATGCCCTCGCCGTTAAAATGAAGTTATTTTTACCCCTCCTGTTACTAATTTCACCAAATTTACCCCTCAATTGGATGGAAAACCCAAATCAATTAAAATTACCCAATTTCAATTAAATAACCCAATTTTTTCTCTTTTTAATCCGAACCCGACCCATTTATACCAAATTAAAACCCCAAATCAAGCTCCGGCAATCCCCATTCATTTTCTCCATTTTCCGGCGAAACACCACCAAAACAACCTCCAAACGACCACTTGAAACCACCACTCAAAACCCCCAAAAACCAGAAACGACATCAAGCAGAAAACATTAACAACAAACCCATTTTCCTCTACTTTCCAGTGAAGACAACAAGATCTTTCTTCTCCATTTCCGGCCAGTTCCAAGCTGGAACAACATTAAGCAAACCACCCACCATCGGAATCATTCAAACAGCCGTGAAACCGACCTGAAACAGCTCTCAAACACCACCCTCTCCATGCCAAAATCCAGTGGTAAAACCACACTTCGGCCCCACCAGAACCCAGACCTCCATCACCCAAGCTAAAACAACCAGCAAATGACCACCAGACCACCAGTTCTCCGACCTCCAAACAACCAACCAACAAAACCCCTACCAAAACCCCATCGGAAAACAACTGAAGCACCGCTAACAAATCAAACCAACAACACAATCAGGCAAGAATCAAGGCTCGAAAATAACAGCCACAACTTCATATCTGGCTAGGCTCAACAAGCAAGCAATATCATAGTTTCAGATCTGCCCGCAGGAAAGCAAAATTCGATGATTGAACGAGCTCCAAGCTCCAAGCTCCGACCACACTGAAATAGTGGTGCAATTTTAGTAGGAAGGACAAATATGCATGAGTTTAACTACAGAATATTTGTTGTCAATTTTAGTAGTATGTGTTTCAATGGAAGAAGGAGATGGAGAAGATTAGAGAGATGGGTTTAGGGTTCTAATTTGATATAAATGGGTCGGGTTTGGATTAAAAGAGAAAATCGGGTCATTTACTTGAAATTGGGTAATTTTAGTTGATTTGGATTTTTCATCCAATTGAGGGCAAAGGGTCAAAAATACCCCTCAACTTTGGACGGGTCGGGCATTGGGTTTAAAATGGGGAATGGGTCTTTTTTTAAAATTTGGGTTAAACTAAGTCAATTTGGGGACTTCCATCCAATTGAGGGGTAAATTTGGTGAAATTAGTAACAGGAGGGGTAAAAATAACTTCATTTTAACGGCGAGGGCATAATCAAACAATAAACCAAAGTTGAGGGGTATTTTTGACCCTTTTCCCATTAAATTGCAACTTCAAAACTGTGTTCTAGAAAATCTGTGTTCCTAGCGGCTTCCAATTTTTGAGAGGCCACCTTAATTTAAAAATTCTTTGTGCTAATTCTATATTTAATAAATAAGTAGCTACTAACTAGAAAGCAATTAATTTTTAATAGATTCTCGATTTAAAAGAGAAATTACTCATAGAAGGATTGTAGGAAGAAAAAATGACAATAAAATATCAAAATATCAAAATACAAAGCAAAGAGTAGGATATGAGGCAAGTCCTTAACCTCTCCCACCTAACGGACGACTACACTCGGCTACCTATCGAACTTTACTCTGATTTTTGACCTTTATACCTTCTTATCTAGGGTCATATAATCTGAAACTGCATCATGTCTTTATTAATCACCTTTCCATGTTTTTTTTGCCTACCTCCTAATTGGCGTATCCACGCACCTCCTCTTCATAGTATCTGAGTCATCTTATTCTTCCTTTATCTTATCCGCCAAGGAGACAACTCTCACCTTGTCCCCTATAACATTTATTTTTTAACAAATTGTTCATTTCAACTTTCAACCTGACATGTTTAAAACCAAAAACTTAATTGACAATTTGATACATTTCACTTTTTTTTTAATTGAAGACCACAAGATTCAAAAAAATTATTACTTTCTTAAACTTCGTATCAAGTCAAAACAAGACAAACAAATAAAAACGGACAGAGTATTTTTTTTAATTATTATCCTTTGTTTCTTTAGATTGAAACAGATTTTTGCAACAGAAGCAAAGTTTTCATGTCAAACCAACAAACTCAAAATTAACATCCTTTGACATTTTAGATAACTACACAAACTGTTGAAGTGATTGTAACTGAGACAGTTTGAACATGTGAATAGGAAATGTATTAATGTCCCAGCGTGGAGGTTGGCTTTGAATGGTTTTAGGGGAGGTGGAAGTAGGCCAAGGAAGTGTGCGGGAGAGGTAATTAGACAGGACATGACACAACTTTGACTTACCAAGAACATGACCTTAGATAGGAGGCTACGAAAAACACAAATTATTTACTTGTTCTTTTTATTTCTGTTACTATATGTTGTTTCTTTTACTTCAATTATAGTATCATTATGTTGTAGTTATTTTTTTTTCTTTCAAAATGTTTTAGTACGATATCTTTAGCATATTGTCATGGTCTCTTCACTTCAGTTGTTTTGATATACTTGTACTTGAGCCGAGATCTATTTGTAACGAACCTCTCCATCACCCGGGTAAGGTTTGCATTATTACATACACTCTACCCTTCGACAAATAAGATTATACTGGATATGTTATTGTAGTATAGTAGTACCAAGACCAAAGAACAAAGAAAGGTAGCATCTTTTGGTTGTTAATGACACACCTTATGGTAAATAAAAATTTGTGTATTATTAGCCAGAATCAAGAACATAAAAAGCTTGGAAGACATGTTACATTGAGCGAAGCTCGTATATTCAGCATCTAATAAGGTACACATATATACAAATTACACGCAATGTAGCGCGAAAAGTGATCAAAACAAGAGAAGGCATGCCAATACACAACAGAAGAGGAAGAAATATAATCTGCCAAGTGATCTATCCGCGTGTAATAGCTGCCTTCTCATTCTCAAACTCGTGTTTCCTGCAAGATTATATGAGTTTGGACATGCATTTCCAAAAACTCGTGCATAAACCACTTCACCAATCACGGGTGGTGAGGCGATGTAACCTCCTGAATGTGGCTGTTGTCGATGGTTAAGTTGTTGTGATGGAAGTGAATTTGTAGTTGCCATCAGTGTATGATCCCCACTACATCTTGGCCTCAGAGGCCTTTGTGGTATGACCATGCCTTTACTTGTAACGTTGTCTTCAGATGGTTTTGTTGCTTGGCCAGGACCATAGAGCGGAATCAACTCTTTTTGTGAAACTTTAGCTTTGCAAACAGGACATAGTGGCTTTTGGTGATCCGAGGCGCTCTGGAATTGAATCCACTTATAGATACAAGGCCAACAATAAAGGTGACCGCAAAATGTAACCACGGGATCTTTAACAACATCCAAGCATATGTTACAGTCAAAACCACTAGCACGATTGTCTTCATCACGCTCATCATCCAACGTCTTCCATTTCTGTAAGGGGCTACTACGACATTCGTTAAAGGTACTCTCTGTTATCTGGTCTTGGAAATGAAGATCTAACGCCATATCTTGTTTCTTGATGTAGTTTTGTTGATTTCTAGTGCCTATAGAAAACAAATGCCAAGAGGGAAAACGATTAGAAATCCATGACCTTAATTAGATACAACTACGGTCACTCAACTAACAACTTTTTATCTCAAAGAGTCACTCGACCTTATTTTATAACTAAAAAGTCACGCAACTATCGTCATTTCACCTAAGACATTCAATCCCAAGAGACATTACAGTATAAGTCTGCATAACTACAATGTACAAAAACTGCATTAATTCTATCTGAACTACTGAATCTTTTTTCTCTAATAGGGGGAAAATTGAAAACAAAAAATCCCAAATTCTGTATAAAACTTATCAAACATCAATTGAACCACAAAAAGCTCTAATCTTTTCAATCAAAATACGTCAAGAAAACCTCAAAAAGTTTTCAAAAACACATCTTTTTCAAATCTAATACATCAAGAAAACCACAAAAAGCTCAAATCTTTTTCAATCTAATACATCAAGAAAACCTCAAAACACCAACAAAATCACAAAAAGCTCCAATCTTTCAATCAAAATACATAAATAAAACCTCAAAACTTTTCAACAACATACCCAATGTAATCTCACAAACTCCAGATAAGAAAAACAAAGAAGAAACCACAAAAAGGTCTAATCTTTTTTCAATATAATTACCTGAATACAAATCAAGATTGTCCTTTTAACTGTTGATTTTTCAGAACTCCCAATCAAAGTGAAGCAAAGTGAAAATAGAATGAAGTAATTTGGGGGTGGCTTTAATATATATAGTGCTTTACAAAATATGCACCTATAGATACAGGAGTTGTATGTATAGGAAAAATATATATTTAGGGCGTAAAAATATAAAATAAAACTTTTTGAATAGAAACTTAAGTTATCAAATTTGTTTTGGATAAGATGACTTTGTTGGCCTACGTGGTAATGACTATTACACACTCTTTGTGGGACATTATTTTTTTTTGTATATTTGGATTTTTCCATTTTTTGGATTTTACTTGATAATAAAATAACAAAAACAGTAACTAGTCATTCATGTTTGGGATAAGGATCAAATAGTCATAATCACATATTCAATAGAAGAGAGTAGAATTTACACTTATTTTATTTCTACATTATGGAGATAGAGATTGGGGCGGTGTCTGTTAGGTCGGAGGGGATGAATCCTTTTTGAATGTATATGATTATTGATTGAAATAAAAATATCGATTTTTTCTGACTTTTGTGGGTATGCTTCTTTCATATTTGGAACTTCTTTAAAGAAAATCATTAATGTGTTACAAATATGTCATACCCCATTTAATTATTGCTCACCTTTGCCCAATTTTTTTTTTTTAATTTACCTTTACTACTTTGAATATCACCAACCACTGGCACCTACTTATAAGGGCCTACATATTTCACCCAATTAGTATATAATATTAAAGTCAAGTTATTAGTCTTTTTTTTTAATTTCCATTCGGTGTTCGGAGCCCACATTAGAGCTTCGATTAAATTTGAATCGCGCTCTGCAGGGCTCATTCGGGGGTGCCTCTCCCAATAGAATTTTCTCCATACCTAGGGCTCGAACCCAAGACCTCTGGTTAAGGACGAAACACTCCCACCAGTACACCACAACCTATGTCGGTAAGTTATTAGTTTTATCACCCAATTTCTTTATTCTAATTTAGAACTTTTTTTTATTAACTATTTTTTTTAGTGTTGTGGGACCTCTTCTTTTTCATTTTCACATTGGTTGGCGTATAATATAATATGCTATTTAATAAATATAAACACTACTATTGTTAATTAACTATACAAAATAAACGAGTATCCTACTTTACACTTACTTTCTTGATTTTGACTAATAAATATTAAGATCAATAATTACGCGTTGATTAAATTGCAACATCAAAACTATGTTCTAAAAAGACTGTGTTCCTAGTGGCTTCCAATATTTGAGAAGCCGCCTTAATTTAAAAAATTATTTGTGTTAATTCTATGATTAATTAAAAGGAAGTAGCTACAAATTTGAAAGCAATCAACGTTTTGTATATACCTATGAAAATTGTATGTTGGGTATCTAAGAACAGATAAATGACACATTACACGTGTTATTTAATTTGATCTTAGATGGTATATATGTTATTTAATTTTAGATGTAAATAAGTAAACAATTAAATATGTATAAAGTTGAACAAGTAGACACACACATTATATATGACATAATATGTGTCTGATGTGACATGAAACAAATTAGATCAAGTTATAGCCTAACTCATCGGTGATCCTCTAAAATTGACACGATATTTCACTTAGACACTGCAAAAAAACGCCCGCCACCCTTTGATTGTCTTCTCTAAATACCCCTACCCTTTTGTAGAAACATCTGCACGCACACCAACTCTTCACTAGATATGTGCACCACTGAAAAAAACTCTTTACAAAAATAAAAAAATATCACGATTACTTTCTTCCTTTTTTCTTTTTTTTTGCCTAATAAATGATTTTCGCTAGTCCAAAGAAATTTTTTAGCTTAATTAAAGAAATTATCTCCCTCGCAAATTATCAAGATAAGCTTTTATTACTCTTTTTCAATTCACTTTCCCACAAATATTAAATTTCATGTATGGGTTTATTATTAAATTTTAAAAACCGTTTTTCCTGATTTTGCTAAATCTTTATTCACAATGAACTGAAATTTAACTTAGTTAAAATGGAAGCTGAAAATGGAGAAGCGGAAGAAAAAAAATAATTAAAAATTAACTAACACTTCACGCGCCTGTCAATTAGTATATCGCACTCATTATGTCATGTAAGCAAAAAGTGTCAAAATGACACAAATCTTGTAAGCTAAAATTATATCATATCATGTCTAATCAATTTCTCACTTCCTTACAAGTTTTTTTGGCCTACCTTTACCAATCGTAACTCATTCTACAATCAACCTCTCATATATTGGCTCATCTATGCACATGGTTGAACCATCATCTCTCTTGCCTTATCAAATCCATCTAAGTATCCTCATCTATGCTACATTCAATTTTTGAAGGTGCGCGTTCTTGATTGGTCGACACTCTGTCCTATAAAGAGATGATGGTCTAACCACCACTCTATAGCATTTACCCTTAAACTTTGGCGATACATTCTTATCGTATAGTACCCCAAATACGAGCTTCCGTTTTACCCACTACCCCAAGCCTAATCCGTAGGACAACAAGACAATGCTCTATTAATTATTAATCTTATGCCCTAATCTGTGATCTTCAAATATCCACCTATTAGAGCCATATCTTTATTGGCTAAAGATGTGTCAAATCTTATCTAATCAACTCTCTCCAATAGCTCTTTGACCTACCTCAAAACCCACCATCATTGATCTCTCACGCCTCCTCACCGAAGACTTTAATTTCAAGATCAAAGTCATACCTTGATATTTAAGCTAAGGCCTTATCCACCCTGGCAATTAGTATATAATATTAAAGTCAAGCTATTAGTCTTTATCACCCAATTTCATTATTCTAATTTAGAGCTTTATTTTTCATTTTCACTCTGGTAGGTATAATAGACATAGGCCAATTAACATTTTGCTTAATCGTTAGTAGACATACTCTGACTCTATATAATAAATAAATAAAACAGTACTATTGTTAATTAATTAATTAACATAAACGAGTATCGTACTATACACTTTTAAACTTTCTCGATTTGACTAATTAATACCTTGATTAGTACTACGCGCTTGATCTGAATTAATTAGTAGGATTATAATATATCAAAGTTAATTAAATTACAACTTCAAAACTGTGTTCTTGAAAATCTGTGTTCCTAGTGGCTTCCAATTTTAGATTTTAGTAACCTAAAAATAACGTCGAGGGCATTTTTGGACCAGATGAAAGAAGAATATCTTTTTAGCGAATTTTAATTAGTTAGAGGTATCTTTTTAACGTCACACTAGTTTGCCTAGTGCAGGTTACCTCTCCTATGTGGTTTGCGATCTATTGCATAGGAGCCGAATTGCGGATTTACTTTGTCATAAAAAAAAGGTATTTCATTATCTTTTTTTTCATTGTATTATATTATAATAAAAGTTGTTTTTCTTCTCTCTTTTTTTTTAACTATAATTATATTTTATTTTTTGTAAAAATCTTGACTCCGTAACATAAAATGTTGTGAGACAATATTAATAAAAGCAATAATAACGAAAAGAAAGATCACATAATTTTACGTGAATATAAACCTCAAAGAAAAAGCAATTCATCATCAATCAGCAACTCTTATTATTTCCAATAAAATATGATAAAAATATACCAAATACGTTATGTTTATATAAATAATTATAAAAACATTAATTTGCTTGTTTTAGACTAAAAAATGAGAGCATGGTGTGCTAATATTATCATTGGTTCGTCAGAATGATGAAAGCTTTCTTATTGATATTATTCAACTTTGCTTCTCGAAGAGTCCATGTGATTTGTCATTTGTCCATTAAGAAATATTTCCGTTGATCAAACAAATTTGATTTGAATTTTACGATAGTAAATTAAATTTATAATATGTATCAAAATAGCTTTTATTCTTGTAGTCATAATATGTTACGTACAAATTTCTATTTTTTACGATCTTAATCTAATTATAGTAGATAACCTAGTTTCCTAATAAAGAAAAGTTGGGGACATAGTAAATCTCCGACTTTCGTAATTTCTTTTTATGTGCTTAAATATAGTGAGTAGAGTTATTTGATGAGTTAGTGAGAGGTAGTAAGTACCTAATAAAATAATTGATGTACGTGCAAGTTGAACCGGATAAACATCAAAGTAAAAGATTCAAGCATGACAAAAGAAGTTTTCACATTGATTGGAGAACATATTGTTGGTTTCCTTATATGAACGTGGATAACTTTCTTCTTATGAGATAGTTTTTAGAATTGAGTTAAGCTCAATCTACATACAATACATGGTATCAAAGTCAACATTATGTTGTCCGCGCTCTAGTTTGCCGTTTGGGCATATGCAAGGGGTGTTAGAGTTTCACATCGATAGAAAAATATACCGATGATCTTCTCATACGAACTTGAACAATTCTTCCTTTGAGATTAAGTTAGGCTTAAATACATATCTTATGAAGTGGTTAAACTTTGAACTCACCCTCTCCCAAGATCCTTCTGTGCTTCCCTAAACAGGACTAAGGGTCAAGAGGGTCGTAAACTAAAAAATCATAAGAATATACCAAAATGCTCATTAAAATCCGTGGTCATAAACATGACACGTAAAAATTGGGACTTTAAGAGTGGTCAAAAAAGAAAGAGACATTCTTTTTTAAACAGACTAAAAAAATAAAGACGGACAAATTGAAGTAGGAGTATAAAATAGATGGATAAGTCGGGCTTAAGTGGGTCAAAACATGTTAATTCTATAAACAGATCATGGATCAACCCGCCCAAAATTTGCTTGGGTCAAAACGGATCAAACGACTAGTTCAATCCAATAGCGCCAAGCCACCAACTCAAATTTGAATATTCGGGTTGAATATACTTCCATGGTTCAATATTAACAGCTCTAATTCTGGTAAAAATGGACTTCATTTAAGTTAAAGCTCAAAACCAAGTGTAGCTTTGGTTTTACCATTCAAAAGAAAGAAAAAAGCAGACAAAACAAAGCAAATGCAGCTTTTGGCTTTACCATTCAGCAGCTTCTACAAGAATTTGTCTATGCTGGCAGTTAGACTTGTTTTGGGTACAGCACCAATGATAGCATCTTTCTTCTCTCCGTTAACGAAGATCATTATTGTTGGGATGCTTCGGATTCCATATCTAGATGCTACAGAAGGGCTGTCATCGGTATTCAATTTGAAGCACTTTACCCTTCCTGTGTATTGCTTTGCAAGATCACTGATTACTGGATGGAACATGCGACATGGTCCACACCAGGGAGCCCAAAACTCAACCACCACGGGTTCAGTAGCGTTGAGAACGAGTGAATCCCATGTTTCCTCTGTCACGGTAGGGACTGAAAAGAACAAGAAAATGAGGCACGGAAGAAGTTAAGGCAAATTTGACCGGGAAGCAAAAACTTTCAACCAGCGATAAACCTCCTCCAAATGCATAGTTTAGAAATCATTCAGTCAGTCTCCCACCACACACACTCCACCCCACCCCTCAAAAGCCAAGTAAAAAGAACATTCATAACATCAGAAGGAATTTTTATTTATCTGATCCGGTATAATAACAAAGAATACCATCTAAAACAGTTTGAATAGATGAAAATACAAAAACGGCCACATTTATACTACTTGAAACACCAAGTTGAATATAAATATAGGCCAGACATAAAGGAAGTGTAAATTTCTTTTATTATGACGTTGGTGCCTGGGCCAGCTTGGTCGTACCGCGACTATTTTATCAGGTACTGGCTATCTTCCACAAGGCCTAAGCAGATGGAAAGAAAACACATACTTTATTGACCACTACGCCACACCTTTGGGTGCCATCAGTGTAAGTTATAGAATGATGTTGAGAAATTGTACTAGTCCAGGCTTTCAACAAAATAGATATACCCTAAATAATTTTTGGAATTTCGGTGTTAAACCACGGGATCAATTGCTAAGGTTTTCTCTATGTGCTTGAGCATTCACTCTAAATGTGAGGAAGCAATAGTGTCGGTAAAGGTCCAGGAACCTAATACTAACAAAGTTTTACATCTGCTTTTGAAGAAAGTAAATCTGGAAAATTGCACAATCGTTGAATGACAAAAAACTACGAATTATATGGATAGCTCAAAAGTTCTCTTCCGCAACTTCCCTTCTTCTTTCCTCCAAGACAATTTCATGATCTTGCATCCAAGGACATCAAAGCAAACTGATTAATCGTGATTTTCACAGCACAACCTCTCAACATGTGCCAGGCAAAGCAACAATTTTAAAAGTAATGCTTACTTGCTGGAAGAAAATCCGTAGCAGTCTTTTTCAACTTTTGTTAGTTCAATGAAGAAAGAAAAAGAAACTAGCAAAGAGTGTGATGATGACTCAACTCCCAAATAGAAAAGAGAGTGTATACTCTTCTTATAAAAAATACAGTGTGACATACTCGCAAAATGTTCTCATTGGGCTACAATGCATCCCAGGCCACTCTGAAAGAAAGTTCTTTTGCCCCAAGAGAGTTAGAAGAAGATAGTTACAAGAAGAAATATTAGGTACACGAATAATAACTTGTTTGTCAGTTATGGAGAAGGATTGCTAAATCATTCTTATCCTTCATAACACATGTAATAAAACTTGTTTGCTACAAAACCATCGAAAAGATGTTTCTTTCTTAAGCTTGCACTAGCTCTAGAAGTTTTCAATTTCACTATGAAAAGTCCTTTGCTCCAACGCCAGCCACTCTTGTCCTTAGATCTTTTGCTCCAACGCCAGCCATTCTTGTCCTTAGATCTCCTACCATGAAAATCACTTAGTATCAATTGACAATTATTACCGTGGCTTTAAGGTCCCACGATTTTTATATCAATCATAACCAACGAGCTTACTCCTCAACTGCGGGTACATGCAAAATAGCCAGCTTAACAAGCACTAACCTAGAAAAACACTCCCATTCAATATAGTCACATCACTGTATCTCCAAGAAGAGAGATAGTGTAAGCTGAACGAACCACTACCCCCTACACATCTCTCCCTATACACTAATCTAGCTGCTATTTTTCATAATTCCTCTCATAGAATACACTTGGCTCAGATAGCTCTCTATAGCATTTTCTGCTAAATCATGTTTTTTCATGAGATATTTGACTCTCTAGCTCAGACTACCTAACTTTTTCCTCAGTACCTAGATGTTCTTCTCATAGTACTGAAAAATTTCCAAGAGTCTTTGTCCATCCCTTCAATTGAGCATATTTGAAATCAGCTAAGCAGTTCTTAGGATTTCAACAGATGAATAGTAATACCATGTAGGGAGCTCTTGATCCTTTATGCCATCTTGATTATCAAGATGTGACCATTGTTAAATTGCATGACTTTTACTGCGACATACTAATAAATTCACCCCTACTACGTAATCCATGATATTTCAGTGACAACGAGATCCAAACCCTGCCTCTGCCACTGAAACCTTAATAAACTACCACAGTAATTAGCAACAACGCACATTACCTCAACGTCAGCATATTACAATTACCATGAAATTTTTCATGATGTCTTGTATCTAGGTCCAATCCACATATTTGCAGTTTATAGGAAAAGGAAGTCATATCATCAGAAAAGAGAGAAGAACATGCTTATATTGTACAGAGTTTTGAAACCCTTACATGAGTAAACTGGCTGTATTTTTTGACCTTCCTAACTGCCAGAGATACATCCAATATATGCCGCTGATTTTTGGACCCAGAGGGAGTAAGCAAACATCTTCAAAATGCAATAAGCTAGTAGCTGAAACTTAAACTAACATATCCTCCTTATTAGCTTTATGGAATAACTGTGATGTCCTGGCCAGCTTGCGTGCAACTTGACTAATTCCACAGGATATGTGTCACCTCCTACCAACAATAGATCTCAGGTAACTTTGTCCACAAAGGAAGAACATGAGGGAAGAAGTCACCTAGTGTTTTTGTCTCTACTCGTATTTGAACAAGAGACCTCATGGTGCTCAACCCACTTCATTGACCACTAGGACACACCCTTAGGTGCATCCTCCTTATTGTTACCCTGTCATGTTCTACACAATCTTTATTCTCTCCTACTTCATGACGCATGTATTTATAGTTGTTGCATATATTCCTCTTTCTCATGATGACTCAATAAATTTTCATATCTTAGTGCTGATTGGTCTGTCTTCTGTTATTACCACGCTATAATATTCGACTCCTCCCATATTCCTTTGTGATCAGTTTAATCTTGGGGGTCCATGCACCAGGGTAGGAATGTTTTGGGGTGGAGTTTATATCAAGAAAACCAAAACAAAGGCCCTTTTTTTTTTGCTTCCCAAACCAAAATGAAAATAGTCTACAAAAGCAGTTCCATAATAACATGATGTTTAGGTACTGTCAACCCATTTACAAGGAGAAGAAGCAACAACAACGAAAAGTTAAACTCCGTAGTGCTCTATAGACAAAGGCGGATTCATGATTTTAAGAAGTGGATGCAGATTGCACCAAACTAGTCCTTAGAGGGGTTGGATTCAATTGCAGATAACAGTGAGTTAACTAGCACACAATCACAACAAAATAACACAAAGATTAACGAGGTTAGACATAAATCTACATAGTAAACCATAGCAACCGGAAATTCAAGAAAAGATGATATCTTGTGGAAAATCTAATACTCCCTCCCATTTTTTTTAATATTCGCATCTCGATTAATTACACCCAATAATTGCCATCTCTCACAAGCAACAAGTATCACACAACTCTGTCCACCAAAACTAGAACAAATAGAAAGAAATCACCTAGTACTTTTGTATGGATTTTAACCTGAGACTTCATGGTGCTCAAACCACTTTATTGACCACAAAGCCACACCTTTGGCACCTCCCTCTGTCCTATTTTATGTGTTATTTTTCACTTCACTTATGGAGAGTCAATTGGATTGATATTCAAAGCTAAATTCAACCAAATAAACTCTGACATTTTAAAACTATATGCAATTCTTCTCATATCAATATAACAAACGAAACAATAGTACATTCTAAAAATATTGTCAGTTTGAATCTCGGGAAGCGAAATATAGAAACGCATGGTGTAGTAAAAAAGCTTTTAAAAGGGGGAAATGAGAACGAACCATCGAAGGCAACATCGGAAGCTTCGCCGGATACGCTATTTGTGCGGCGAGAAATCCTTGAAGAAGATGCAAGTGAAACTTGATTATTAACAGAGGTATATGATATAGAAAAGCCGGTGAATTTCAGAGGGGCACGGCGGTCCCATGCGGCGGAGAACGGCGGTGAGGGGCGGAGGGATGGGCGGAGATTAGAGGAAAAAATTGAAGAGATGGCGAGTGAATCGAGAATTGTCGACATAGGAGGGAAACTGTGCGACTAGTTGACGATTTCTCTGTTTTATGAAAATGTGAAAAAGACAAATTTATAGCTCCACTTTCTCTTCTTGATATTCGTATGGGAGCCGAACTAATTCAAACACTCTCAACTTCGACTTGGGACCCTATTCTAGCTTCGACTCGAGACCTGATCCAGACTCGTGACCTAACTCCCAATCTTGACCTCAAGTTTGAGTTGGGTCAGATTGAATTTCAAGTCAGGGTTGAGTTTTGAGTCATCAGAATTGGGAGTTGAATTCTAGGTTGGAATCGAGAGTCAAGTCCCAAGTTGGGTGTCAGATTTGGTGTTGTGGTTAGATCGGGACAAGGGTTTCAGTCCGTGTTAAACAGTTCGGGTTCGAGTTTGGTGTATAGTATTTGATCAGATTATACTTAAATATTCTAGGGATAAAATTTCCTTCTTACTAATCAAACACGAAAAAATAAGTAAAACAATTTACTCATTAAAAGAAATTGTAAAAAAAAAATCATACCAAACACACTCTTAGGGCCCGTTTGACCATGCGATATGAAATCATGACATAAAGTTGAAGTTTTGTTTGGAAATGCAATTTGGACTTTTTATGTTGTATATTTTCTAATAAACATAAAACTCAATAAGTTGAAAAACTATTAAAATTGTCCCAATTTTTTATATAATCTTACAAAATAAGCAAAAGTTTATAAAATCGCATAATACAATGTCACAAAGTTATTCTTAAAAAATAAAATATTTATTGATCAAACATTAATTCAATAAAAAGATTAAATGTTTATTGATCAAGCTAAGAAAATTGTTTTTATCAATTAATTCCACAATGGTCAGTCAACTTGTCCACTTAATATAACGATGGAAAATTTTTAGTTTTACTAAACGTTGATTTGAATGAAGAAGTAATAAATGTGGTTGATAAATAAATTTGATAAAAAAAATAACAAATAATATAAATAGTAAAGTAAGAGTTGATTTGAAGTAATAATAAATTTTATGTAAGTGATAATGATCGTTATATGATATATAAATGATTTGAAATGTAATGATATGAATTGTAAATTTTATCTCTATTATTTTTTATACAATAAGTGATTATTAGATATAAATATGAGTTCTTTTTTACAAATACAAATTTGTGGATCAATTTTTGTATTTGAAAAATCCTAAATCATGATTTGAAATTCTTAAATCATGTTTTTTTTAAAAAAAAATTGGAATTTTATATTCCAATATGAAATTACATGTCCAAACACCTACTTTTCATGACATGCAATGATCAAGCTAAATCATAAGATAGAAGGTTAGAAAACACAAGTCATCATCATGGTCAACACAAGCTTAACATGTTTGAAACACTTTGTAGTTAGGGACAAGGAGATTGCTACTAGAGACCCGACCTCTACTAATTACGGGAGAACCTCCATCTCAGTATCCTCTCGGTGCTAAGTAAAATTCCACAGAACATTCATTAATCATATTTATTTCATCATTCATGGAAAGACACAATTAAGCTACCAATCCAAGTTAAAAGTCATTTAGAACAACTCCTTAAATCTTGATTCAACTTAGGTGAGAAAACCTTTCAACCTTATGAAACCTTAGTTGAGAAAACCTTTCACAATCTCATGGATACTTTCATCTAAAAGCATCCTCAAGTCATTTACATCAATTTCATAAAAGCATGCATATCTTTGTAAATGGGTTCATATGAATTCAACTCAAAAACATGTAATTAATTCAATTCATGCAATATATGATACTTCCTCTGTCCCTAATTACTTGTCCACTCTTGAATTGACACACCTATTAAGAAAACAATTATTGATAGAGTGAGTTTACTATTTTACCCCTATTAACTATGAAGTGGATAAATTAAAAACTTAAGATTTTCAAGAATTCTACCTTTTTCAAAGTAATTAATTGAGGGTATAATAGGTAAAAATATTTTGTCCTTTCTTGATTTGTCAAAATGGACAAGTAATTAGGGACAACTAAAAAAGGAAAAGTGGACAAGTCATTAGGGACAGAGAGAGTAGAAAATAGGTAATTGAATCATAATTGAAAAAAAATCATGAAAATTGTATAAAACCCTAACTTTGAATTGATAAATTGAACTTGTAAAATTGGAAGATTTTGGGAACCCAAGGGAGGAAAGGACTCCATTGATGAATATCAACATACCTTAGTAATAAAGTCTCAAAAGATATGGTGAATTGGAGATCTTGTAGTAAAACAAGACTTAAAATACTTATATAGGACTTAGAATATGGGTTAAACGACATATCTACGCTTAGGAAACTAAAATAGCCTGATTAAAAAAATCTGACGGGAGCCCTGTTAAAGAGCCTTCACAGACCGTTTATCCCTTCACGGTGATCGTTGATCACCACGTCGGGTGAATGAACCGTTTATCCTTTCACGGGCGGTTTAGGTCTCCATGAACGAGGGCCTGATTCACGGTTGGGCTAAGAGATCGCGCACTTCAACATGGTCCGAAAACCTACCCGTTAAACATGTTTTACACTTTTCAAATCCCAATATATTACAGAATATTTGGAGCTGAATATATCGTCTTATCCTCATGACTAAAAAGTTAATTATTGTACAAAAAAATTATTGACAATTTTCAAATAAATTATAATGTTAATGAGTAGAAACATGACTATGATTTTTGAAACTCGAGATACAATTGTTTATAATAAAACTAATGAGACAACCATTAAACTTTGTTGGTTATGCATATAAAAAAACTAATGAGATAATTATTAAGTTTTGTTGCACATAAGTTCACTTGGGGTGGCGCAAAAAAAAAAGACGGCTAAAAGTCAAAATCTTAATGACGTTAGTTAAACGTATCTAATCAAAGACATATTGTCCGTAGCTTCGTTACAAATATATTTGTTAATAATACTATCTATTTATATTGACAAAGGTTATTTTATTAAGAACCTTATTACACAATTAATTAAACTGATATACTATGAGTCTATGACATGCATTTATCCTCTTTTAAAGATTATTCATAAATAGTGACACTTAATTACCTTCCGTTGAATTTCAGTAAATTTATTTAAAATTTGTAAATAATCCATATTTGTCGTCGAACTCACTAATGATCTAAATTTACCTTTTATATTGTTATCGTTAGCCTATACAGAAATAAAATAGTAATTTTGATATACTTTCTCCGTTCATTTTTACTTATAACTGTTTATAAGTAATTTTACTTATAACTGTTTAATTTTGTACATTTATTAAGAAAATAATTATTGATATAAGTATTTTATCATACTATTCTTACTAATTAATGTTTAATATTGGTAAAACATAGAAGAAAAAAAATATTTTTTCTTAATATGTCAAAAGTGAAAAGTAAAAATGAAAATCTCCTGTCTGGTGTGGTTTATTTCCCCTATGTGGAGTGGGTTGCAGGCTATTACACAGTTGAGGTTTACTCAATGTGCACAAAGTACTCATCCGAAGAGCAAAGACTATGACAGAGGTTATAGCGACTGCGAATTATCATGAAATTTAAAAAAAAAAAAAAAACTTATTTTAGAAATAAATAGCAAGGAAATGTAAATCGAGGGATAGTAACTATTTCAAATTTAGTTTAGATAAATTAGTAACGTACGTCAAGAGAGAGAAAATTAAATAGTTCAATTAATATAATTGATTGATATACTATGACATACGTTTATCCACTTTTGAAAGTTATTATAATAGTTAGTGATACTTAATTACCTTTAGTTGAAGTTAAATGAATTTACCTTTAAAGTTTGCAAATAAATCATATGCATTCGTTTCAATTTATGTAATATAATTTAATTTAATATGATTCTTTTAATTATTTTTTTGAAATTTGGGATCTAAAATAAATCATAAATATTTGTAAAACTATAACTATTTAGGTAAAAATGAGCATTTAAAATTAAATTGTTAAACATATAGTAATAATATATCGTTCTTTTTTAAATTAACTAAAAAGAAAAATAAAATATATAGCACATAATGAATATTTACTCTTGGACTCACAAATGGTCTAAATTTTCCTTTTTATCATCATGTAGTCGTTAGCGCAGATGACAAAATTGAGCCATTTTGATTACAACGAAGAAAAAACAAGATTTTTTTAGAAAAAACAAAAACAAACATATTCAGTATAATTGAGATTTCAAAAAAAATAGTATTTATATATGCAACATTATTTGTTCTAAACGATACAATAGTTCAGAGACATGTTTGAACCGTTTCACTAACTAAAATAACATTTAATTCTTGTAAATAGAGAAATTAAAGGGCCTTTAAAAGCCCTTTGTTTTCTCCTAGTATTTCTCTTTTATTTTCATTAGCTTCCACTCTTTATTCATTTAACATTTCTCTCTCTAAACAAAAACAAATTCAAAAAAAATATTCAAGAGCTTTTTGTATTTGAAGAAAATTCTGGCAAAAATAAAAATAGGTTAATTAAAAAAAATCATAATATTTGCCAAAAGAAGAAGAGAAGCTTTAATGGGCTTCCAAAAATTCTTGTTTTTGTTTCTCTTCTTCCTTCTTGTTGGCTTGTCATATTCTTCTTCTCCATTATACATCAAACGTAAATTCCTACATTTTTTAAAATTATTTTTTATATTTATGATTTTGTTTTTTATATTCAAATTTGGTTATTAACAAAAGAAAAGATTGTTCTTGTTTTTTTTTAATGTTTTGATTGTTTTTGTATTTGTTGAAGACTGAGACGTAATTATTATTGTTGTTCGAACAGATGATGTGCTTGAGGCTCGTGTTCATACGGGACGTGCCCTTCTTCAACAACAAGGAAGTTAGTATCAATTTAATCCCTTTTTATTGTTATTATGTTATATTTCTTGTTTGGTTTTTTAAAATTTTAAGTTAATGCAATTAATTTATGAATTGATATGTTTTAATTAGGATTGTTTTTTCTTTTAAAAATATATTAATGTTTGTTCTTGAAAGCTCAAAAAAATGATTAATTTTCAAGAATTATTGCTTCTAAGAAAGAGTTGAAATTGAGAAGAGGTGTCAAATGAACAAGTTACAGTATTAGAACTATATTTGGGCATGTTAAAATGATTCGAATCAATAAATGGTTAGAGTCATAATGCGCCTAATGTTTGTTTAGGTCAAAATGGTTTGATACATAACCCTAATTAACTCATGAACAAATATAAAAATTGCATTGGTAGTCGGTTTTATATTTATTGTTCAAGTTATATTAAAAAAAGTTTGAAATATTTAACTTGTAGTCAAGGTTGACGTTATTTGGCACAGAAAATTGTAGTTGTTGGCTTTTTATTAAATGATGTTGCTTACATTACCTATAAACACAATCAATTTTTGTTTTGACCTCTATTAAATGAACAAACAAGAATGGTTATATTGAAAGGAATAAATCCAAAACTAAAGGGGAAAAAGTTATGGTATATATTTTTTAAGAAAATTAATGTATTTGTTTATTTTAGATATATTTGAAGTTCAGAATCAGATATACGAGCCTGAAGTTAGGTTTGATAGGTCAAATTTCAAATATATTATTTTGAAGTTAGGGACTGTCAAGCTTAACTTCAAATTTACTTGTCTGAGGTTCCAATTGTACAAGCAATTTGAAGTTTGTCTTGACTGTCCCTAATGCCAGAATCATATGCTTGAAGTTTGAAAATTTAGATTCAAATTTTCAACTTCAGTCTCGTAGATCTGACATTTATTCTAAAACCTCTCCACATTAAGTATTTGGTAACTTTTGAATGTTTCTTACATAACGATCCTCAAATGCACTAGCCCCTAAATAAATACATATTTAATCCAATTAACCAACTCAAGTTTGAACAAGTTGAATAAGTTATATTTTTATGGACTAAACTTCTCATCCTGAAGTACATCATTTACCTCTAATCGTGTGCATTGTCTTCACGTGACTTCTTCGTGTATTTATTATATTATATTTTTAATTTGACTTTTTAGTAAAAATTATGACTCATCATTATATCTGACTTCTTTTTTTCTCAAAGATTGTCCCATTGATTTTGAGAGGGAAAACTACACCATCATAACAAGTCAATGCAAAGGACCTCACTACAATTCATCAATATGTTGCAATGCATTCAAACAATTAGCATGCAAACATACACAAGAAATAAATGATGTGCAAAATGGATGTGCTACAACTATGTTTAATTACATTAATCTATATGGCAAATATCCACCTGGCCTATTTGCAAATATGTGCAAAGAGGACAAAGAAGGCCTAAATTGCAAAGATGTTATTCAGCCAGAAGGCAAAAATGATGAACAAAAGAGTAATTCTTCAAAAGGTACTAAATGTTCAACAATTCTAATGGTGATAGCCACTTTTTTAATCATATTAATGTTAAATATATGAATGAATGATGATGGATAAGTCTTTTTTAGTTTTTCATTTTGGTTCTTTTTTAAATGTAATACTTTTATTTACTTAAATAAAATATTATAATTGGGACCTGTAAGAATTCTTTTTTATTAACGAGTGATTTATAAAAATAGCCTTAGAGGTGGGTGATTTTTTGAATTTTTGACCTTGTTTGTTTTTTTGACAAAATTTTAAGCTTAACAAGTTTTTTAGGGTAAAAATTCAAAACCCTCAATTTTCAAGCTAGGGTCATTGAGTGTAATGTCCTATAGTTCAATATTTTTGCTTTTTCATACTGGAACTTTTCATTTTATTTATTGTTCTTATGGAAATTTCTTGTGATTATTTATTTTATGGGAGAGGAAAAAAATCAATTCATCTTTTGGAAAGTGTATCTTATATATACTGACAGTATACAACTTTCCTATGAGAGAAAAAAATGGTGGCAATCACTACAAAATAGCAAGGGGTGAGAAAGTTTACTTCGAGACGAAAAATGTGAAAATAAAGTTGAAATAACTAGGGGTGTGCAAAAATCGAACCGACCGATAAACCGAATCGATAAAAGTGTTATTGGTTTATTGTTATTGGGGTATTGGGTTAACGATTTTTTAATGGTTTTATAAAAAAAATTATTGGGTTATCGGTTTGGTGTTGATTTTTAATATTGGGTTATAGGGTAAACGATAGCCCATTAAGACTATTAATTTACTACTTTTACTTCTAGATAAATATTAAATATTAATCTCAATATCTTACTAGTTACTATCTTTGTCCTTTAACCTTCAATTCACACTTCACAAGGACTTTGAGTTCACAATTTCACATTATACAAAACGTTAAAATCTAAAGTAAAAAACCCTATTCTTCTTAATTTCTCTTTATGTTACAATTGTATAGTTCTTTTCATGTTTGTTATTATTGTTTCTATTTTACGAGCATTTGTAAAGTTACATTATTGTGTTTTCGTATCAAATTTATTTAAAAAGTCATATATTTGTTTTATAAGTATTTTCTTATTGGTTAAACCGAAAACCGAACCGTTAAGGACAAAAATCGATAAACCAAAAACCGATAAAAAATATCCTATTGGTTTGGTTATTGGTTTAACATATTTAAAAACCGAAAACCGATAAACCGAATCAATAATACATAAAATTGAACCGAACCGACCGATACACACCCCTAGAAATAATAACTATTATCTCATAAACCATGCATACCAGGTTATATTGTGACTTTAATCTACCTGTTCCACTCCTAAGGTCACATATTATTTTGTTTCATACTCCGTGTTTGATATTTGTGTTGGAGCGCGGCTAACCTAAATTCGTACTGAAAAAATGTTACATTGCAAGATAAAATGTTTCCTAACGAAGACGACTCCTGAGATCACATATGTAAATACACGTTAGCTCTATAAAATTATTTAAAATCAAATTATTTTATGAGAAAATTATGTCATTGTATATAGATAATTATCAATTAAGTAAATGAATAAATTGCTAATCCTTCTCAACTATGAATCAATGTCGAGTCGGATGGGGTTGACTCGATATCCATATAAATGCAATTGTAATTTTTAAACTAATTATGTCATCCTTTTTTTGGTGGTGTAGTGTACTCTATCGTCACAATTACTTTTAGAAATTGATAATTTATCATTAGATATAATCAGCAACAATAACGACATATTTAGTGTAGTCTTATAAAGTAGAGTTCAAGAAAAATCGAGTTTACACAAACTTTTACCCCTACTTTGGAGCTAGCAAGTCTGTTTCCGACAGATTCTCGACTCAAGCAAAAATAATCTAACGCAGAACGTAGAAAAAAATAATGAAAGTGAAAAAGTTATGGAAGTATGTCAAATTATTCAGAATAGTAACTACAACAAAATAACATAATAATTGAAGTACAACACATCACTTTAGTAACACATAATCAAACCATCAAAAATAAGATTTTTAATAACGACGAGTAATAAGGACCTTTAAGAAAAAAGATGTCCGGCATACGAAAAGAAATAAAGCCTCTCACACATCTTTTTAAATTCTAGTCTTTTATGATTTTCATTTCATTTTATTGACCGTCATCCCATAGGGCTTAAAGAATATTCCCATTACAAAGCAAAAAGAGGAGTGGAAAAATCTTCACCCCAAAGATAAAGTTATTGGAAAACAGATGAGAAATGCATTATAGAGGTTGAGATTTGAGAATATGCAGAAAATATTCGATGAGCTAGTAGTCCGATCGAGACAGATTCAATATTTAAATTTTATAGATTCAACTTTTAAGGCAGTATCATTATTGAACATATTCTAAAATTATGGATTTAGATTATAACGTTAGAAGAAAAAGATCACGTAACTTTATATTTTATATTTAAAATATTAAATTCAGATAAGTCAAAATTGAATAGACGGTTTTGTTCTCAAAATATTATGCTTTTAGAGGTGACGTCGCAGCAATTTTGACTTGAAAAACAAGTCACAAATCACAATAATAGTTTATTACACCAAATTCAACAAAATCTGCTATGGACTATTTCTTACTTTTCTTTTGTATTTTTATTTTTCTGGTAATAAACTATGTCATATTTCCCAATTATTACAAAAAATAAAAGGTAAAGAACATCATAACAATCCCTCAATCACGTATGATGATATATTTACCTAAATAAAATATAACTTGTGATGAGTAAAATTATCTTGGTGAAATGTTTGTTTTCCTTTACCTTTATGATATGTTTCAAGTAAGTTCGACTTTCTACCTAACAAGTTTAACTTTATATATATCTTTAATTTAAAATCACAAAATTTTGATATTTTTTTTACTCTCTTAAAGTGTCATATCAAATCAAAATCAGACGAATAAAATTAAATCAAAAATTTTTTATTTTTTTTAAAAGGAAAAAATTACTAATCTCCCACCAATCACTTTCATACAACACATAAGAAAGCAAAATCCCTCTTTGTTCCTTCAATCTCTTCATTCATAGTACCAAATTAAAAAAAAAATAGTCATCAAATTGGCTAATTAAACAACAATTCACCTTCATATATTCCATTTTCCTCAGATAATATTTTCCCTAATAAATCTGTCAAAAATTATTTGTTTCCCTCTTGTAAACTTATCTGTGAGCTGTAACCAAAGTTTCAATAAATCTCAATCCATCAAAATTTGGTGCAAATTTATCTGAAGAAGATTTTGATTCTCCCATTTTCTTCGATGAATTTTCTTCCTCCATCTTCTTCTTCTTCGACGAACTTTCATCCTGAATTAATAATTTTCCCCAAAAAAAAAATAATTAAATTTTTATAACAGCTTTCTTTCCACGCAAGCTCATCGCATCGAGCTTGTCTAGTACATATATATTCAGTTTAAAACATTTAAACCACAATTGTAAATTATTTCCACTAATTTGAAATTCCAGATCTATTTTCAAATTTTAAGAGAAAAACACAAAAAAAAAAAAAAAAAAACTCAGTAAAATTGAGGAAAATTTATTTACCTGATGATGAGAAATTCGAACTTTGGATGAAGAATTCGAAGAAGAAATAGCAACTGCAGTTATGGAAGCTACAAAAATACTTGATTTCTTCATTTTTTGGAGGAAAGTAAATTTGTTTTTTTCTTCTTCTTTTTTTTATGTGTTGAGAATGAAAAATTATTGGAGATATTTATAGGTAAGTTGAATGAATTGGACCCATGACATGCTGGCATGTATTCACATTTTAAATACGCGGCAACAATTATCTTTTCACGCAATCTTCGTATTATATTATTTGGCCTTTGTTGACTTCCGGAACCTTCTCTCATGTTGTGTTATAGTGCCTCGAAATGCACGAACGCGCCACATGTGGGAAAATTTGGATGTGTGGTTAGGGACGAGGACTTCGTGTATTTTGTAGGTTTTCGTAATTCGAGTGAGATTGTCATGATGCAGAAGCAAATATGGTTTGGTATTTTCTTATTTTGTGTATTGATTATGTTCTTTATATTTTGCTTAGCGGAAACTAATCGAGCTCTGTTTGATTTCTAGAAGCAGATATATTTTATAAAATTATATTCTTTGAATATAGATTTTTTTTAAAGTTTTTTAAAAAATTATATATTTAGAAATTATTTTTTTTTTACTGTTCGAATAGTAACTAAGACTATCATTTTAGGACGAAAAAGCATTAGAAAGATGTTTGATTACTTCATCTTTATCTGATATTAAGATAATATTTCTTTTCATTAAATATTTACTCTATTATATATCATAATTGAGATATTTACTGTCTTTAAAGATAATTACTATAAAAAAAGGTAAAAAAATAAATTAATTGCCATAAGCATTTTGATAGCAAAAGTCGATAGGATTAAAAAAGATCAGCATTTTGAAAAATATTTTTTGAGATAAACATTTTAATAAGGACTAAGTATTTTGAGATAAATATTTTTAATATGAACAAATAATTTTTAATAAATCTAACTAATAAATATTTAGAAACAAAATAATCAAAAATGATATTTCAAATAATTAAAAATTAAACATATTTAGTCATATATAATAAGGTCAAAAACTAAAAGTTATCCATAATTAAAAAATTTCCTTTCTATACTAGATGAACAAAAACCCCATCCACAAATTTCTTACCTTTTTTGTCTTTTATTGATCTAAAAATAAAATAACCAAACAAAATACCAACATTGGTACTTGGTAATGGTAAGTCCGTGATAAATTCTTCTACTTATTTAAGTTTTTTTAAATATATATATATATATAACTATGAGGAATTAGGGATGAAATCTCTCATAACCATTTCTAAATTTAATTTTAAAAACGTATTTTATTTTTTATATATATAAAAATAACATATGACTAAAAACAAATTTTAAAAAAGACTATAAAATCAAAACTTTTGAAATTGGGTAGAATTTTTATATAGACGTTCAAGATTTAATATATATATATATATAAAATTTTAATTTACATGTTGAGAAAAGACATAAAGTGACATATGAATTAATTTAACTATGCGGGCGTCTTATTACCCACTAAACAATCTTAAACTGATATTATTACATCATTTTTTGTCCACATGACATAGAAAATGTGTGCACTCTCTCAAAGAGAGTGAACAACCTAAAATAACTAATATAATTTTATTTTTACAAATATTTTATTATAAAGTATATTTTCTTATTTTTCTTATTATTTTAACTTTTTTCCTTTTTATTTTTCTCTTTCTTTCTTCTTCAAAAAAACCATTGTCATCTCCATTGAAGCTTCTCACTCTCAGTGTCACAATTTTTACCACAACTTCACCTTCCTTTTTTACTACTATTAGTTTTACTCTCTTTAATTTTAAAGCTTTTATCTAAATCGATTCGCTCTAGTCCCGTAACCAAGCGAAAGAGGATTCATGGACAGAAGTTGCGGGTAAACCCTCGGTTTGCCCTCAACTATATACGTTGTTTTCTTACATTTCGAACAATTTGATAAACACATTAGATTTCAAGATGATTAGAAAGTATCATATAGCTTTTTTTATCCGATTTCAATTAACGTCTTTCAATTTTCGGTGAATTCATTGATTCTTTTGAAATTATCATTTCTAATTGTGAAGTTATATGAAAAGGAGTAATTGATGATACCTTCAAAATTTTAAATTTTCTTAGAAAAATAATTAGTTTTGTTATCAATAATTTAATAAAGTCTAGAAAATAGTATGAATTCTTTTTTATAAAAAAATAAAATTAAAATAAGTCAAAAAGTAAGAGAGAGAAATAAAGAAAAAAAGAAAAAACTTAAAATGATTTTTTTTTTTACATTTTAAAGTAAATTAACACGTGTCATGTAATGATTGGTGTGTGAACACATTTGCTTCTTAAAATCTGGGGCTGATCGATTACAAAATTAAGATGTCTTTTTGAAAATTCGAGACAACTTTAATAACCACTTTATGTCTTTTTCTCTTACCTGTTTAATATGTGATGATACTTTGATCTTCATTTGATGAGAAAAAAAAACAAATCTCACACGTGTATGGATGTAATTTGTCCACAACAGCTTTGCTGTGTTTCATATGTTCAATATTATGATTCGTGGAAAATTGTTCATTTGAGTGAGACAGACATTGAAGTTGAAAATGACTAATAACAAGTTGACTTGTCCAAAAAAAAAAAAAAGATAAAAATGCAAGGTGTATATTTTCGTTCGTTTTATTTTATTTGACCTAATTATATTTTGATTAAGTGTGCGTAGGTTTCATCGTTATTTATAGAGGTAGAGAAACTGATTTGAAACGATTCTTAGCTCAAGTGCTAAATTGAACAAATAAAACCCATAATTTAATTTTAATATAAGAATCGAGTAAAATAAAATGGAGAAACAATATATATATATATATATATATATATATATAGATAGATAGATAGAGATATATATATATATATAGAGAGAGAGAGAAACTGATTTTATAATGTGTTTTTTCATCATATTCATAGGCAAAAAGTTACAATTTATAGTACTTTTTGTATAGATTTTGCATATTTAATTCTTTTTAAAAAAAATTTGAATTAATACAATCTGATTTAACTTTAAAAATTAGTCAAATGGACTTTTAAAAAGCGCAACATGTCCAATACAAGTGGACGGAGAGAGTATATTTTAGCTACAAAATATATTAGAGATACAACTTTTTAAAAAATTTAAAATTTTTATTGCGTTGACTCTTGAAATCTTATCATTGTCATATGAATTTGAACAAATTATATATTATTAAAAGTTACATAAAAAATGCTATAAATCACAATAATTAGCAATTAAAAATATTTTTAAATCATATAAGAAATTTGGTTGACTAATTGGAATAGAATAAGTAACATGTACAATTTGAAAATAACGTCAAAATTTCTAGAATTCACAATAAATTAACAACTGAAAATATTTATGATTATTCACGTGCATTGAAACATGAGTAACCTATATTATTCAAAACTAACGCAAAAATACTATAAATCACAACAATTTAATAACTTCAAATATATTTTTAAGAAAACATATAAAAAATCGACTGATCTTAAAATTTTATTTATATCACATAAATTAAACAAAAAAAAATATTTATTGGGCCCGTGCTGGCACGGACACCAAATATCTATATATATGTGTCACAAATGGAAAAGTCTCAATCAAGGAAGCAACATATATCATTTACAAATGACTTAAAAAGCATTAAAAATTACAATAATTACCAATTTAAAATATTTAAAAGTTATCTAATACAATACGTTGACTCTCAGAATTCTATCAGGTTCACATATATTGGGACAAAAAAAAATAACACATATCATTTTAAAATTACCATAAAAGTATTATAAATAATAATAATTAACAACTTAAAATATGTGAAAGACATTTTAAAAGGGTTAATTTTGTAATTTTATCCATATCACATAAATTAGGACAAAGTGACCAGTAATGTACATTATTTGAAAGTTACATAAAAATATCATAAATCACAATAATTAATAATTTAAAATATTTTAAAAAAATATATGAAAATTTGGATGACTCTCCAAATTTCATTTGTGTCACATAAATTGAGACAATAAAAATAACATATATTGGGTCCATTTTAATTTATTTGCCTTATTTTTTATTTTATTTTATATTTAAAAATTGCGTAAAAATACTATAAATCATGATAATTGACAATATAAAATATGTTTTGAAAAAAATATAAAAAATTTCACTGATTCTTGAAGTGAATCTATTGTAAAAATACTATAAATCATGATAATTGACGACATAAAATATTTCAAAAATGTTGTATGTGGGTAGTCTTATTATGCCTTAAATAGAGTTAAAGAAAGTACAAGTTTGTGATAAAAAAACTTATTCCTTTATCCATGCAAACAATCGCTTTAAAAACTCGGTCATTAGCTCCAAAATATACCATTTATATTATTAGCATGGGCCACATTGTCTAGTATGTATATATATATATATATTGGCAATTCCCTTTCCATCATGAAACATGTTTTGCCTGTCCTTTTTAACACAACACCGACTTGCATGTGATCTTGTCATTTGACACACCCAATCAAACCTTTTTTTGTAATGATTAAGATTATTAGGTTTAATGTTGTTTAAGTACAATTATTTATTTTCAAATAAGACCATTCAATTTATAAATCAAGTTAACATAGTGTGCAGTGGCGTAACTAGGAATTTTGTAAAGAGTGTCCAAATATTATATAAGTAATTTTTTTTTGATGAATGGATGCATTGAAAAAATTAAAATTGACCTAAATAATATTAATATTACTTTTTTTTTATGAATAAATATTTTAATTTTTTTTTAAATCAAACTGCATAATATTTAGCTTTAATATTTATGTTTAATTTAATATAAAGTGAACGAACAAAACAAAAAAAAGGAGGTGGGGGGGGGGGGGGGATTAAGCTTAAAATGAAATCATTTTTACGTTTCAAACTTTCACTAATCTAGGGTGATGACAACAATAACGTGATATAAATAGTGAAAGCAGAATCAAATGAGGTTTTGTTCGCTTTTAGCAACTTTATAGAAATAGTTTAGAATTTGTTTATTAACTTTAAATTAAATAATTACATTTAAG